CCCCAAAACCCCAAAACCCCAAAACCCCAAAGAACTGGGATCATGTGATAATTAAGGTCGATATAATGTTAAAAGAGAGATTATTGACAAATTATAAAATGTCTTAATTAACAGGGGGATACTCAGAAGAAAAGGAAGCTAAACTTAGTATGGTTTCGACAGTAAATCAAGGTTTTGATGATGAAGTAGAACCACACGAGAACATTTCATCAAATAGGCAGTAGTTTTACATTTGGGTATTATTCTTAAACCATATTTCAGCTTAATGGTAGACATATTGTATGACTTTCTCTAAATCTTATTTTTTAGTATTTGTGTATCTAGCAAACAGTAAAGACCCTTATAATAATATACAGCTTGATTTGGATCTCTCTGGAGAGACATATGCTCTAATTACTGGTACTGTGTTTACTTTAGTCAATTCAGTATTTGGGCTCTTGATGGGTTACTTAGCTGACAGATATAATAGGAAATGGATTTTGTTTCCAATGACATTACTTTGGTCTGTAATGACTCTTCTCAGTGCTTTTACGCATAACTTTTGGGAGGTGCTCTTACCTAGAATAGGTTTCTCATTCTTTATGAGTGCATGTGTTCCGGTTTCTGTAAGTCTAATCAATGACTATTTTGAACATGAGAAAAGAGGTAGAGCAAACAGTCTATTTGCTTTTGGAATTTACTTAGGAGGAGGACTTAGTTCATTAACTTTGATTCTAGATGAGTATTGTGGGTAAGACTTACTGATTTATTATTCTCTTAAATACAGGTGGAGGAATTCTATTATCATAGTTTGTAGCATTAATCTCGCATTCTCTCTTCCTTTAATCTTTTTCAAAGAACCGAAGAGAATTTAGGTCTTGAAATCATAAGTAGCGAACTTCATTCTTAGTTCAAGAGAAACTGTCAAGGATAGCTAATACAATTAGCTTGTAACCTAATAGGATTAGCAAGATCAAAATAATGCTATGCAGCCCTAGATCGAAGATGTCTAATTCTAGAAGCTTACTACGACTATTACTAAGCCATACAAGATCTTGAGCTTTACTTAAAAGGTCAAAGTAAGAGAATAGCATTTTTAATTAATATAGATAATCTTCTCTAATAAAGTCTTCATTCTATTTGTTACAGCATCTACTTTAAGATTTTTTGGGGGTTTCTCGATTGGGTTTTGGTCACCTACATTTTTTCAAGGAAATTATCCAGATCATACTAAAGAATACTCAATTATTAATGCTTTCGTTGTTATCGTCGGTGGATTGACCTCCTCATATATGGGTGGCTATATCACTGACAAGTATGAGGGACAATATCCAAGGATTAAAGGTTATATAAGTGGATTTGGTGCTTTAACTTCTTGCATTTTTATAATAATCACCTATGCCGTGTAGTCAAATTTTTACCTCGGAATGTTTAGCTTGTTTATGGCTTATCTCACAGCTGAGATGTGGTATGGTCCAGCTCATGCAGCTGTTAACAGAATATTTCCCTCTGAATTTTAAGGTATTGCAATAGCTATTTTTACATTGCTTGGAGCGACTGCTGGTGCACTCGCTACATACCTTTTGGGTTATATTGGTGATAAGCTTGAAACTAAAACATATCCAGAAAGATCTGGCTACTGTTTAACAGCATTCGTTCTATTCAGTTATTGTTCTTGCTGTCCGATGTTTGTCTGGGCATCAATCGAATATGAAAAGATGTTAAAGGGTAAAGAATTAAAGAAGCTTAATTAACAATAACAATAAATATTACAAGTATCATCATCCTAATAAAAATATCACACAATCAAGAATTAAAATGATAATAGCCAACCTGATCAATCCTGAATGGAAGATGCAGGAATAATTATCTTTTTTGAATTCAGTACTTTAATTTACTTAACAAATCCTTTCTAATTATTTATGTGTAAAGTTTTAGCACTCACACTTCCATTAGGATTTATTTGTATCAATGAGGGAGTGTAGTAGCCTTTCAGCTCAGTCTAATATTCATGTCCTAGTTTATTTAATCTTTTGTTCATTTTGTTTATTATCGAAAGTTGGGATTATTCATTCCTCAGCCTCTTGGCTTCGATCTTCTTTGCCGCCTATGTCTTTTCTATTTTCTTTTCAAAGTCCATGCAGAAATTTTCCTCAAGAGATGGTCCAACGTGAACATAATAATCCCAAATAGAAGGATCATCTAGTTTCTGTACCTTTCTATCTAAGTTAAGTGGAGTAATTGTCCTTGATTGTACTTATTAGTGTAATAATGTATTATTATTATTTGTATTTTATTTAGGAGAAAAATTCGGATTGTCTCTGCTACTTTACGAATTAAAAGCAGATCTTAGGGTAATCTTCTTCATATTAAATGAAGATTTAGGTCTCTTTATCCTAAAAACTTTATCATATTCTTTTACTTCAGAATATCACTGCTACATCCTCATAAACAATCCTTAGGTCTTGCCAAGATCAGGATTTCTTTTTACTACATCATCTACTAAATCTTTTAACACAAGTCTCTAGTATTTTTGCTCAAACGTAAAAGTACTCGCGAAGTGATTCTCTTTAAACTTTTACAAGGCATTTAGATCATTGAAGAAATTATTCGCATAGTAATTATTACTGAATTTTGCCATGTTCGCAGAGGAGACTGAGCCACTCGTTCGTATTGATTCCTAAGAGTTTTTTCTTTTATTCATTTTATTTCAATGTTAAAATATATAACATGTTATATAATATTATAATTGGGAATAAAACTAATTCTTAGGTTATAAAGTGAGAGTTTATAGTAAGTTATATCATTTCAAATCACCACTCAAAAAGGTGTATTATTCTCTAACTCAATAATTGCAGAAACAGCTAATTACTCATAGTTCAGTATTGGTTTTCTCATGTTTTCCACTACCCCTGGAAGTGTAGACTCTTATCCTGGTGCTTGTGGTTTGATTCATTTTTTGTTTATCTGACTTGTTGTATTGGAACTCTCTCTCAATTTCTGATGTTCTGTAATTCTTTAGAAGAGACTCTGCATTCTGTTTGTCCTTTCGCTTTACTCTGATGGAAAGTATTATTCTTCTGCTCTATAGTTCCTTGCTCTGTCTCATTTCGGTGGATCTTTTAATAGACCTTATAGCTTGCGATTCATTTGAGCCAATTCTCTGAGAGTATAAAGATTGCATTGAGGACTACTCATACTGTCTCTTGAGTCGTGATGATTCAACCTTATTAGTATAGAGATTATTTAATTACTTTTTCCTTTCACTTGAGTCTCGGATTCCACGAGTCTAACTTTCATCCACTCCCAATGGGCTTAACTTGCTACTGAGTCTCTAAGACCTCTTATTTAAGTTCAGTGATGCACCATCCTTAGACCTCTTGTCTATCTTAAAATCAATATTCTTGATCTGAATCGGCTTCACTAAAATGAAACAATGTGTACAACTCAGTAACTTACTTTCTTGACTTTCTATAGAGCTAAGACCTTCAAAACCAAAGTTTCTATTTTTAAGAGAAATCACATTGCTTGATACTTGAGAACTCTTACGACTTTAGAAGAATGAAGAGTTTTTATTAACAAGTGAGTTTCTCTATGTTCTACAAAACTTTGACTTTTTAGGCTCCATTCTAATGGTCTCTTGAGATGTATTTAATGTATTCAGATCTAACTTGATAGTGCTATAAGATATGGACAGATTCCCAAGATTCCTATCTATCAAATCCTTGTCGTGTAAATTCTAATCCTAATGGAAAATATCTTATTTAAGTTTCTGTTAAAGAAGTTTCTTTGAGTAACCAAACGCAATTTATGCCTTCAACAGGTTTTTAGTTTGCAGACTTTACTCAGGCTTCAGGAATTTAGAAGAAGTTTTAATTTTAAGTCTCTTTGGGAAATCAAAAATGTCAATTCTATCCTAAATCATCTGATAATTAGGTCCATGTAGCCTATCACCTAACTAAGATGCCTTGATGTGAAGATTCTAGTTAGAAGTTATAGGACTCAAATGATTACCTATTAATTAAAACAATTAGTTTATTTACAATCTGATGATTCATTACCCTCTTCAAGAACTCTTGGAACTTCAAAACTAAGCCTGTTACTCCAAAGTTGTGGATTTATTTTTGACTCCTAGACTATTTAAGGATCAGGTCTTCTCACATCCTGTAGTAAGCTGAAATGATTGAAATTCAATCTGTCTAAAACTGGTTATTGCCTATATTCTTTACTAGGTATATAAAGTGTTTCTCCGAATTTATCTCATAAATCCTTTGTTAAATCTGAATGCCCAACCATATTCGTAAATGCAGCTAAATTTCATTACTAAGCTTAACTACTAATACCATATTTGCTGTACGCATCTTTATCTTGTGCTATTTAGTCCTGATTTTAAAAAATTGATCTTCTCTTTTGATTTCCAAGTCTGTAAATGATCTTGATCTGTTCAGAGGGATGTAATTCCATTGTTAAAAAAATTAAGAACAATATTTATGAAATTAAAATTATCAATTAATCTGAGTAACTTCATTTAAATTATTTAACAAATCATATGGGAAAATCATTAAGTTGTGCTCTGATGCTTTTCTATATACTCCAATCTGTATAATAAGATATCAGACATTTGCCTAATGACACTTATTATTCCCTCATCACTTAGAGATGTTACCATTTGATTTTACAGCTTATTGTCACTTATATTCCTATTTTTTACCAGTTTATTCTCAAACTGTAAAACTCCTACAACTTTTCCACTACTAGATTTTATTAAAATACTGTTTAATGGCATTGTTGTTTCCATGTCAAGTCTTTAATCAAAATTCATGTTTTGGTAAGGCATAAAAAATATCAAACACTAATTCTTGCTGATAGTGATAGTCATTAGTGATTAAATCTCTTAAATATTAAACTCTTGGAATTAAACTAAGCCCATCTCATCCTTATGATAATTCCAAATCATATTATTCTCAACAAAGGCGAATCTAACTTTGGTTGTCTCAAATACTAACTTGATGTCTTTTTCAAAAGCATTATAAAGATCAAACTTAGTCTTTTAATTTAGAAAATTCAATAAGGTCTTTTATACTTGTGTTTGTTTTCCAATAAAATAGTACTAGACTTTATTTTATAACTCCCTTGAGAGTAGAGCAGTTACTATTTCACTTACTAGCGTAGTACCAATCTAGTTCTCATAGTGAATCTTTTAAATATCTGTTAGCTATGTGAGATTGTCCTCTTTGCCAATCAGTTGCACTAGACCCACATTTTAGTCATTGTTGACATTGAATAATGGAGTGATCAAGCAATTATCTTCCCCTCTGAAATTCATGAAAGTAGTTTCCTTTAAATTAATGATTGATTGACCTTAATTACTCTGAGTTAAATCAAAGATTTCATAGATTTAGTCACTGCTGTAAGTCCAAAGGTAGTTATTCATCACATCTCTAATCCAGACTCTAAAATCCTTCACATTGAGAATTTTTAGCATTCCCTGATTTATTCGATTGATAAGTTTGGAGGAATCTGTTCCTCCTTGTAAAAAGTATTCAATCATTACTCCAACTAGAAACTCGTATATTCTCCTAACTGTGTTATTAATGATGTATTCTCTAGTCACCAGCTCTATATTTTTCTTTATGTCTAGGGACTTCAAGCTCATTGTAGTTTCCACGTAATTGTGTATGCCCATATGGTTGATTTCCTTCAATATTCCTGTTTCCTCCACATTCAAGAAATCGAATCTAAAGTCATAGCTATGTCTTCTCTCTCTTCCATCTCTAGTCAATAAAGATGGAATCTAAAGTGCTCTATTCTGATCCACAGACTCATGCTTAAGTAGCTTTCTCTTATCTCGATCCTGCTTAAGAATATCATTAGTTCTGTTTTTCCAATAAGGTCCTTGTAAATTGAATGAAGATTTCTTAGGAACTGGAGAAGCCTCTCTTGAGTCTAACACAAGAGTTGGAGACTGGTTTTCAGTTTAAGCCTTTTCCTCTACCTTGTTCAGCTTCTCTTACAACTTTTCAAATTCCTCCAGTCCTGAATGATCTAACTCGTGGTCTTCTTAGAGAATTTCTTTTTCCTAAACATTGATAAGCTCAAGATATCCTGGATTGTTTTTATTCTGCATTGCGAATTTCCTGTTTTGTTCATCAATCTTCATGACTAAATGATTGATCTTTTTCTTCAACCTATTTATTTCTTCTATTTATTCATCATTCTGATTCTTCATATAACTCAGTTCCTTTTTCAAAGTGTTATTTTCACTTATTAGCATGTGAATAGTAGTCTTTAATCTGTTTTGTCTGAGTTCTTCATTGTTTCCTGACTTATCACTTAAAGCGAGAAGGCCTTGCTCAAGTCCATCAACTTTGACTACCATAGAGGAAATTTTAGCTTGATCAGTTTGAGAATGTTTGAATAAAGCAGTCCTCTCTTCAATCCCATTAAAGACCTATTTTCTTAAATCCCTGTTTTCATCTTCAATTTTCTTTAGGATTTCTTCTTGCTTCTTGCATTTAGCTTTAAATGAACTGAGTTCAACATTTTTAAGTTCTAACAGTCTTTTGTTTTGAAAATAAAGTTACTCGATTTAAACATGCTTATCAGTTAATTGGATTTTATCTCGGCAAAAATGGAAAAGCTCTTATAAATCTTGAATTGATCTAAAATTCTCTTAGAACTCTATTTTGCTAAGCAGAACACCTAGAGTCTATATCTTATGAGCATAGTCCTTGACCACATGGTTGTAATTGTTAATACTCTGAATGAAATACTCTTTGAGCTATTTTAAACTTTACTAGTTATCAATGGGGATATCAAGTTGTTTGAATAATTTAGCGGACTCCAATCCGAATTTATCTGACTCATTAGCAATTGTCCTTCCACTAGGTTGAACTTTATTCCTCACTATATTTCTATAGTCTAATACATTTTAAGACTTTGGGGAAAGGAGGTTTCCTCTGTTATTTGAAGAAGGTGTCTGAACTCTTTACTGGTTGATCTAAGTATGTTGTGTTTGAATTTTATACTCTTGTATCTTAGCTCTTATGTTTTCTTGCTTTGTTATTGGCCTGCTCTGAATCATATAGTCCAAATTGCTCATTGAATTAGACTCCTAAGATATCACATCCTCTTTGGTAGAGTAAGCATTCTGATGAAATGTATTAAACTAATGCTGATTTCTTTCTTTTGACTATTGCTCTGATTTAAATAGAGTTGAAGTAAGCTTTAAGCTTTTAATTTTGCCTTGACTATCATTTCGATTTCCACTTTCTTTAGAGATATCATGGTTTTTAGCATAGTACAGAATGTTTTTGTTCTTCTATTAAGATCCAAGAAGAGAGTTAGAGAAGTGGGTCTTTATTGGTTTATGAGAAGTAGTCTCCTAAAGTGGTTAGAAGAAGAGATTTTTCTAAGATTTACTGTTATCCATGATTAAATTTATTTAGTTTAATTATAAATTATTTAATGGATAACTTCAAAGTCACGATGAGGAATCTTTATAATCCTCACTTTTCAAATCCCTTTGGACAAGTTAAGTTCAATGAAAATCCTAGAAATCAGTAATATATTTTACTCTTATACTTAACAAAATAGACTTAGAAGTTCAAAAGTTAGCAGAAAGACAAGTTTTGACCTAAATAATGGGCTAGGTGGTGTAGGCGATAACGACTTAGCTCAAATTTAGGGTGTCCTTAATTCATCAATGAAAACTAGTGGTCTTTATAATGCCGGACTCAAGATTTCTACTTTTGACAGCAGAAAAGAATCAGATGGAAATGGAGCTCAGCAGTACTACACCCCAATGCAGTCGAGATACAGATTGAATTCTATGGATTAAAAGGACACAAATGAATCGAAGCTTGACTAAAGGAATAAATATTAAAAGCACATCAGGAATATTTCGCTTTACGATACCAATATGAGTCACAGCCTCCAAGTCATGGAAAAAATCCTTTAATCTAAGCACAAAGAATAGCTCCAAAGATCATACGCAATAGGAGGATCAGCAGCAATGTCGCCAAATTCTAAGGGTGAGAAAAGTGCAAAGATTGATTTTAACTCTTATCAAAAGGAGATTGATGGGCCTGTTTCTCCCAGAGGAGAAGTATCAATTCTTAACTCTCATAAGAGATATGTAAAATTTACTTTACTTTTTAATATTTCTGTTAGAGCGACATGTCCAAGTATTATAAGAATATCAAGGACAGTAGAATCGTACAAGGAGGTAAAAACTCTTTCTGCAGACCAAATATTCGATGAATGATGATTCAGTGAGTTCATGATGAACTATAATATACTAATATATTCATTCTAAGATATTTAGATAGAGAAAAAAGAGCTACAATAATCTTGTAGACTTTATTTATCAAGTTTATTTCTATATTAAAAAGCAGACTTTAGCAAAAATTTATTTATTCAGTCTTATGGGGTTTTGGGGTTTTGGGG